CACACACACACACACACACACACACATACACACACACACACACACACACACACATTCAAACGACATCCAAAGGGTGAAGACTGAGTGTATACATTGTATATGGGTTAAAAAGTAAAACACTATTATAGAGGGTAAAGTACGCCTCTACCTACATACCCACGCCCCCAGAAGCTGCTATACACTGCACACTGCACACACGTAATAATATCCATGAATTCTATTCCCATAAAATGTATGTATCGTTCTCTCCACACAGCTATATAGATCTAGATCTATGTATAAACCTACACGTCACAAGGCCGGGAAGAACGTGCGTGAGTGTGAGAATGTCAACATCCGTGAATTCCCCTGAAAGGAAACCACGTAGGCTATACTTGGTCGTGAATTTTAGAACAGCACACACTAATAATAACGCGGGAATATGATGATAATACAATGCATGTGAGGAAGGAAGACAATGTCAACGTAGACTTGCTCGTGAATTTCACAACAACACGCTTTCCGAGAATAGGCCTACTATTATAATTGATTATATTATTAAGCGTGTCGTCGAAGGAGTAAAACGTAGACTTAATCGTGAAGTTAAGAACAGCACACTTCGCGAGAATAATATTATATTATATATGCACGGTCGTCCCACTGCTCTTACACTGCAACGGAAACACCGCGTTAATTGTTCTCCAAACGAAGCACGGCACGTCGTGGCGCTAATGTATAATTTGTCTACACAGCACCAGCCACAAGCACAGCATGCATGACACAGCATCAGCAGCACACGCACACGTACATGTACACACTCACGAGCAGAAAGGAATGAAAGAAAGAAATATAATATAAAAAAAGAACGAACGCTTGAAGCATAAACCACACAGAGCCTGTGAGCCCTGTGTCTGCCTCTGCCTAGTATCCACACCCGCGGAGGCCTTCACCAGTGAAGGGTCTACATAAGTCTACACTCTACGCACAAAACACAGACGTCACTCAAGCTGAAAATCTCAGCCCGCTGCGGATTTGAGCCGAAACACACAGGACTGGCTACGCTACGAGGCTACCAAACCGGTATCCTCGCTACGCTATAAAAGCCCGTCCACGGATACCGTATGTGGAACACATGTGACGGTGTGACGGTGACATTACACTTGTTTTTGTTCGTATCCGTCTCGGGTATAAAAATGTGACCGTGTGAACGTATGTGTGTGTGTGTGT